TTTCATCAAGCTGACAAGACAGAACTGAAAATTTGCCGGAAACTGTAGGCAGGGTGATTGACAGCTCACTGAAGTTGTCAACGAAAAAACTGACGAGTCCTTCATCTCCTGCAGAGCAGTGTCTTAAAAACTTCAATTTTTTTTCAGTAGTGCGTTCTGGTTGGTCTAAAATCATAACAAAAATGAAAATGCTATATTTGATTATGTACAGCTTAACCATTTTAATGTTGCTTGATTTCAGGAGGCCCACAACATCGTGCGATGCTCGGATAGGAGAGGATCAGCGGACAAGTTTGATGCGGTTAGTGGTTTTATTATCCTGGTGCAGTAGCCTCAGGTGGCTTAATAGGAGATCTGTTTGGATTGAATGGTAAGATAGCAGAAATTTCACTCACCGTGCCAAGATGTTCAGTTTTTCTCAGCAAATTTTCAAATTCTTGATAAAACTCCATAAAAAGGATCTGATCCACGTTGATCCAAGACTGAATGAAAACTGCTAAAAAGATAATTTAACTCTCTAATACCCATTTTCTTTTGGATCAAAATATGGGTTCTACCACAAAGTTCCATTATGAGGCAAACGAAATCCCCAATCAGGAGTCGAACCCATGACCTCTGCCGTCCAAGGCTAACACAATAACCGCTGCGCCATAACTGATAGGATCTCTTCGCTTCGGTTTTGTGGCTGCTTTGTTTAGCTCTCTGCTGTTCTCGTCTTTCTAAGAGGAAGTGGGCAGTTTATATTTGTACTCTAGACCTAAATTACCAGTACTAGTGTGTTTGTTTTGTTATCATCGCCGATCCAGGTGTTGCACAGGAACTTTAGTTTCACAGTTTCAGTGTAGGTACGGAAATGAATACATTTACATCGTTGAGTGACTCCAAAACCTCGGAGGTACAAAAATAGCAATGTACAAGGTACACTTGCATATAATAGTCAACATTTCGTTGTAGTTCTGACTGGTTTTGCATATAGAATTTTGGTTATTTTATACATTGCTCAAAAAAAGACGTCTTTTAAAGCAAACATTTTTTTCTAGTGCTCCCTGGCTGTTCGTAATGTTATTGCACATTATTTTAAAGCAGTAAAACACCGAGAATTCAGCTGATCTACCAAAAATATATTCAGATCAGTTCTTTGATCAATCTTACGAGCGAAAACGAAAAGTAGATAATAGAAAATGAAGAAAAGGATGCTTCAAAGTAACGTTTTTCTTTGCAGTACAAAGTTCTGGCCACATCAAATCCAAACCATGTCGGCTACTTGATCTCGGAGTTCGAGAGCGTTGCCGGGTATCCCATTGAGAAGGCGATCGAGAAGGACTTCAGTGGCGACACGAAGAACTTGTTACTGGTGAGCGGCTGATTTTCGAAGAAATGACGATGCACTTAGCTTATTGCATGGGTTTTAACGAACTTCCGAACCACAAGACGACTTTGAAGCTTTTGCAAGTGTTCTGTTCAAAGTGAGAGTCTGCAGTATTAATAATAGTAAGTGGTAATAGTAGTAATAC